GAAGTTAATGGGTTTAGACCAGAAAAAAATCTGCATAGGATTACACTATTGATTTGTGGCTAAAAAACACATTGCATGCTTTGTGGATTGCAAAGAAAATGGGGGGGAGGGGTTTAAGTCAATTACACCTCCGAAACCTGCAAAAAATCACATGGTCATTCTTAAAGGCAAATACAGGTCTACTTTGCTTAGTAAAATGAGCATAGAGGAACAGAACTCAAAATTATAGACTGCAGAAGAAACAGAGAGAACGATAACATAAATGGAGGGAACTGAAAATGATAGTCCGTTCCAAATAATTCAGCTCCATGGTACAGATTACTGGAAGGAGGGAAAGGACGGGGTGCAGCATAGCTAGAAGCCCAGCTGGAAAGCTGCAGCTGGGAGTAGAGACTGGGCTGATTCATTTCTCAGCGATTGTCTGTCTCCTAGACCCCATCAACCCTTCTGCAGCCTAATCCTGTGCAATTAGGCATACTTAAGTATATTTATGTCAGTGGGCTTAGCTGGGCCTAATTACATAGCATCAGGTAGACTACATAAATCCTGAGACATTATGTCAGAAGCAAACACTTGATCCTAAAAATGAAGTTTTGCAAGATAAAGGAGAGGAGTTTTAAGGAAAGGATTGAGGAGTTGGGGTGTGTGTGGCTAACCTGGCTAACACCTACCAATTCTGGCCTGCAAAACACTTCACTGAAACCGGCTTGATTTAATTACAATTTTAAGAGGGAAAATGAGTTACAGTGGCAGTGGTGGGGGGCTTGCAAAAGGAAGTCACCAAAATCACTGTGTGAAAGGTATAGCACCTCCTTTCACCTACCAATTCTTCTGTACAAGTGCTCCCTACTTCTTTATTTTATTTTATTTCATTAAGAAACCTGTGTTTTTCTTGCAACGTGTAGTGGCTCCACTCTTAAGAATCTAGCGGTACTAGATTTGCCAGGAAATTTGGTAGATCCAATAATCTAATAGGGGCCTCTGGGGTCCATAACGGGTAGCTCTGCCTTTATTCATGCACACATCCAAAGCCCCCACCCCCTTTTCCAGGTTCTTTTAAGGACTATTCTGAAGTAAATGACTGAGGACTGCTATACTTGAATTCACAAGCAAATGTTACTCAGGGTTAGAAATTAGATACTTACGCTGCCTGGTTAGGAATAAGCCCCACTGAACAAAGTGAGATTTACTTCTGAGTGAATGTGCATCAAATTAGGACTGCACAAGTTATTCCCTTCTTATATCACAAGTTGAAAAAGAAGGCAAAAATGACAGTAACAAAGAATTCTTGATCATCACAGTAGAACTTAATTCACCTTATTAATACAACTTATTTTTGCTTCAAATTATTCCTATCTGCTTAGAGATATACTTATCTCATGACAAAATTAATCATTTCCTTAAGTAGCTTAAAGATCTTTTTCACCTGATTTGTACTGTATAGATTTACTGTCAGGGTCTTTTTTTTAAAAAAATAATAATCTTGAATTAGCAACATGGTGTGGTGAAAGATTGCAAAAAAGCCACACAGATGCACACTGTCAAATAGTATTATGAAGTGGAAATTTTATTAAAACTACAGTGAAACCTCCAGATTTTCTCAGAGCTTTATGTCATGAAATGTCTGTGCTGCACGAACATGCTAGTTATGCAATTATGGTTCCTAGTGCCATTAGATAAGTGTAACATCTGACAATACACAATAGTTAAAATGGTACATCAAACTCATTCTTGACACACAGCATCTATCAGACGTAATTAGCCTTATGACAGATTCCCATCCTGGACAGATTTACTTATGATCAAGTTGCAATTTGATGCGTGCGCTCTCCCTCCCTCCCTCTCTCATCTCACAAAATGGTCATTCATGTGTTTCAGGTTCTTGGGTTCTGCTGAACAGTACAGTACACAATATTGGATCCCACCTAACATTTCCATGGACAGTACAGACCTCTGGCTCCTCTCTTGTACTATTTTAGAGGGAACCAGCAGCATTTCAGGGGTCACTTTGGGATGCAGGGGTGGGGAAGAAGCCACAGTCCTTCCATCAGTGGTAATTTTTGGCAGGATCCAAACACAATGAAGCTAATTTAAATGTCAGTGTTAGTATACTAAGGACCTATAGCTTTCCAAAAGCTATTCAAAAACAAATCTTGTATTTCAGAACTGTGGCTAGCAGGTGCTTTGTCACTTTTGGAGTTTTTTGTGTCTGTTTTTTTTAATAAACCTCCTTTTTTTCTATAGATATTGGCACTTCAAAGTATAAGGAACATGAAACAGATGAAAGGCTTCTCTTTCATTACAGTAGTAGTCCCTATACACTGAGGAGGCTTTATCATTGCAGTGTGTGCAGCAATGGTATGAAGTCAACAGGTCCCAGTTAGTTATGATATTCATGAGTCTGATCTAAATACGGTGTAGTAGACTGAGAGTGCAATTGTAAACACAGCTAGAGTTAATGGGCTTGGAATGGCATAACACTGTTTAGGATTGTACTCTCACACTACTACGTTCATGTAAGCAAAAAGGAAAATTGTGAAGATTGCACAGTCCTTCAGCTTGCAGAATCGTCAAATAGCTGACCGAAATTGTATGTACCAGTAGACAAGTATAACATTTGGGCCAATGCTCCTGCAAAGTTAAGTTGTCACTATACACCAATATTAGAATGTTCAGAAATTCAATGTTATTGTCTGTTCTTGATAAATGCAGCAAGAGGCCATTAAAAACATTTTTGTTCCTGTTTTAAAAATGCTGACAGTGGCTTATTTGTATCTTATTAAATGTGTGCAATGTTTTTTTTTAAATTAAATATATATAGTAAAATATGTCTTTGTTGAGTGAATATGTATGCTTTTGTGCATGCAGCAAAATCCTAGAGTGGCCTTGAAAAACCAGCATCTCATCTCATCATATTAATAAAGAATCAGATTGTTTATATTGTCGAAGGCTTTCACGGCCAGAGTTCATTAGTTGTTGTAGAGTTTCCGGGCTGTATGGCCGTGGTCTTGGCATTGTAGGACCTGACGTTTCGCCAGCAGCTGTAACTGGCATCCTCAGAGGTATAGCACAGAAAGATGGAGTACTCTCTGTGTCTTTCTGTGTTATACCTTTGAGGATGCCAGTCACAGCTGCTGGCGAAACGTCAGGTACTACAATGCCAAGACCACAGCCATACAGCCCGGAAAAATCTACAGGTAAAATCAGATTGTATCTTTTAGTTACTTCTCATTAGAAAATCTTTTACCACTGAATTGATGGTACTGCGAAAAATGCAAACAAAAAAAATCCCACTGTTTTAAATAAGGGGACATGAACTTGATCAGCTGTTACTTATGTACACTATATTTTACCATACAAACAAAAAGCCTTGTATTTAGTAGCATACAGAATTTGTACAATGCACCAGCATGCTTTTCTGTTTAACCACGGGGATACTAACCATCAAATATTTTGCTACCAACCTTAACACCAATGTGTACTGAATTCTGAAAACTCTTAAGTTTGAGGGAGGGATACTTCTTAAGAACATAAGAAGATTCCTGATGGATTAGACCAATGGTCCATCTAGTCAAGCATCCAGGTTCCCATATTGATCAACTAGTGTCACAGTTCACAGCTGAGGCACAAGAGAGGCCTCTAAAAGTCTCTTTCTGTTGCTGTTCCCCAGAAGGCGGAATTCAAAGGCATACTGCTTCTTAACATGCAGGCCCCATTTAGCAAACATGGCCCTTAGCCACTGAAGGATAGGGTTGCCAGCTCCAGGTTGGGGAATACCTGGAGACTTTGGGGGTGGAGTGTTACGGGAATTTCCTAATTCTAATGAAATTCCTTCCCCTCAAGATTTCTTCCGGGAGAGAATAAGAACTCAAGGCTTGTATGCTAGTGAAGCATGAAGCCTTTTTATTGAATTCATTCGGATACCAGCTGATTAGAGGGTTTACCAACAAGCTGGCACCCCCTCTACAAAGTAAGATAATCTTTTATAATAAACAGAAGACAAAAAGGGCAGGCTCAAAAAACTTGAAGGACAGTAAAGTCTTGCCCTTGTACAGAGTTCAGACTACCGCCTGTTTACAGAACACTCAGAATTCCAGAGAATAAAAAATAGAATTAAAAAACAATCTGTTTTCTAAATATATCAGAGTCTTCACACCGCAGCCATGACTTAGCCTGTTTAGTGCAGAGGGGAGGGGGGGACACTGATTAACAGATCTTGGGTAAGAGTGAGAGTAAAGGTAAAAGGTTCAATATACAGAACCAACTGAAAATAAAGATCAATTTATCTCATGTTCCATAACTAAGAAGGATATGATATCCTTCTTCAGCATTACTTTAACATGGAAATTGAGGAAGGTGGGGTTTGAGGGGAGGGTCTTCTATGGGGTATAATGTCGTACAGTTCACCTTCCAGTGCAGCCATTTTCTCCAGGTGAACAGATCTCTGTTGCCTGGAGATCAGTTGCAATAGCGGGAGCTCTCCAGCCACCACCTGGAGGATGGCAATCCTAATGAAGGTCCATGATCATGCAAAAGGCGAGATCAGCAACGCTGATTCCCCCCCCCCCCCCCCCCCCCCCTTCCTTAAAACAC